TATATGTAGTGTAAACTTTAAATGATGCGCAAACTAACTTTATGTGTTACCTAATATGGTAAAATGCTATGCAGTTGTCCCATGAGGAGGTATTTTAATCCATGCCCTCTGTTCAACATATAACTAGCCTTAAGGATGTCTGGGGGTGAAACAGGGTCGTAAGCAAAAGTGAAGAAGTGTCTCAAACAAGTTCCTGTGTTTGTTTCCCCTGTCTTGCAATGAATTCCTCATTCCTTGTTTATATCTGTTTTGACCTCTCTATGACTTCCTGCTGTCCTCATTTCACCTGGCTTTAACACATTGGGGGTTAAAGTTTCAACACTTCCATCTGTCTTTACCCAGTTCCTGTTTTACTAAGTTCCTGATTTACTACATTGCCCATAGGTGGCTTCTGTTCCTCTGGGATGTGGGCTTTAGCTTATCTGCCCATCCAGCCCCCCCAGAGTGACAGGTCACGAGTTATTGTTGAACTGTGGACTGACAAAGATGCTATAAAACCTATGCGCAATTCTCTCTCTGTGCGCACTCTTTCAGAATACTCTGTACTCCGTAAGACCTGTGCCTTATTTGAAGCTTCAAATAAAGATCCAGAAAGACAACTCTGTTTCCACCATTTTATTGATTGATCATTCTGATTGTATATCTCCTGAGTATTGACTAGGTCTAAGATTTCCAAAACACTTAAGTATGTTGGTTTTAATGCAACATCATACTTCTACTCTTCTTTATTTATATTACTTTAGTTACTCTACAGATTTTGTAATTCCTTCCTGTCCACCGAAAACGATGTATGTCAAGAGGTGTTAAATGTTGAACGTTCGTCATAAACCGAACAATTAAATGTTTCTTTCTGTGTCGAGAACATAATTTTACTTCTTAAGCTAAATAAACAGTTTTAAACCCCTCGAGTATAAGCAGGAAATGCATTGTCACAAAGCTGAAAACAGAGCTGTTTATCAGAGCTTGTGAAAAGTTGACTTTTTAGAGATAAGTGGGTCTCAGAGGATGTGTGCTGATGATAAAACTACCCAACAATATTAAAGCACAACCTTAAACATTGAAACCAAGAAAATGCAACATGAATGCAGCATCAGGAAACATTTAAAACTAGCCATTAATACAGGGGTGTCAAACTCAAATACACAGTGGGCCAAAATAAAAAAATCGGTACTAGTCGAGGGCCGGACTGGTTCAATGTTTATTGCAAAACGTATTGAAATGAACTTATTGCACATATTAAACCTGGAACTAACAAAGCTTAAATGATTGCCCATAAAAACAACGTTAAATAATCAGTTGCATTCATTTCTTATGGCTCTATCTGCAGCTTTTCCGGAGTCATTTCTTATGATTACATTTTTCCACAGGCCAACAACAGCTTCAACAAAACTATTTCCCTCAAAGAACAAACCAAACATGCCCTGTTGTCGTGAGAGAAAAAGTGCAGAAGGAAACATCCATTGAAACTCAGTTTGCTCTGTGATGCTAGTTCAAGCCAGATACTTGGCATCTCATCTTGGGTGCAAGTTCATCAATGTTTGGGGTCAGGCTCCGAAATTAATTCCACCAAGGGCCTGATTTGGCCCCGGGCCTTGAGTTTGACACATGTGCATTAATACATAAAATGCTCTTACCAAAAAATGGAAAGGAATTGGGTTTCTATTTCTGTCGCAGGCGGGACTGTGATCCACACTCTGTGCCACCATTGTGCATCACCAGTCGTTCAACACTTTATAGCCTGGCAGCTGTGAAAATACTGTACCATAGCGATGTTTGTTGTTTATGTTCATTATAATATATCTGAGTCCTTAATGATCATTTTGTGGTACTGGGCTTTTAGGTAGGCCTGAAAAGACTGAAAGTGATGCCAAGTGATGCATCTTTATCACTAGATTAATCAACTTTTAGAGTTAGTGCTAATGCTGGAAAAGAGCTGGTAACACTGGGCCTGGTTTTCCAGTAAGATCATTTTAAAAATCAACCTTACTCTTGCTAGCTTCCCAATGTTACATTCCCAAGCTTTAAGTAAATCCTGCTCAATTTTATTTTACTTGATTACAATTTTTAAAGAGGACATATTATGCTTGAGTTTGAGGTTGATATTTGTATTCTGTGTGACATGTCTCAATGCTTTAATGTTCTAAAAAAGCTCTTTATTTTGCTCATACTGCCTGTGCTGCAGCACCTCTTTTCACCCTCTGTCTGAAACCAGAGCCCAGTCTGCTCTGATTGGTTAGTTGGCCGGCTCTGTTGTGATTGGTCAACCGCTTAGAGATGTCTCACCCCTTAGCCTATCATGTACAACAGGGGGGGCGGACTCTCATCCAGCCCAGCCCACGTGAATTGTAAACGGGGGGGGGGGTGCTAGTGAACTGTCAACGGGAACCTGTCAGCGTGACTTCATTGATGCCGTTTGAAAAAAGCGAACCGACCCGACCGTTCGGTCATTCTACAGATGGCCAAAGTATCGAAGTGGGCCGATCGGAGTGGGCCGAGTGGCCCTCCGGCCCACGCACAGCACACTCCCGGTATTCCCAATGGCCAGTCCGACCCTGACGTACAATGTGTTGGAGCGCTAGCTAATAGAAGCATAGGTGTTACAGTGTGATGTCATAATGTTGCAGACGTAAACAAAGGAGTCCAATGGATGCGATTCAGGCAAGAGGGGGGGGGGGGGGGGGGGGGGGAGTGTGTGAGAGAGAAGGGTTTTTTAGCCTTTACAGACCATTTACATGCACACAAACCAATACATCACACTACAGGAAATGGAAAACCACAAAAAAGCATAATAGGGCCTCTTTAAGTGCAGGATTTTTTTTCTCGTAGTGACAGTTTTTTCATATGTGGTATTACCAATTATATAAAGGGTCCGAATACCTCCCATACTGTGCACAAACACATGAAGACTTTTGACAGTTATCTCTAAAATGTTTTTGCCAAATTCCTTGAATATCCCCATTTAAACGCAGAGATCCACATGCCCTCTCCCTGCCCTCAGTAAAAGCACACTTCAAAGACGGCCTCTCTTTGAAACTGTTTTTCTGATGTGCTGCGTTTGTTGTTGTTATTGTTGTTGTGTTTCAGCACATTATTCCCCCATGACAACGATGGCAACACTGATGGGGATTACTGCTTCTGGGAAGTCGCTCATGCATCTCCCGTGAGGGCCTAATTTTTTTTAAGCAGATTATACAGAGTCCCAGGCAGATGTGGGTGAAACATGCAGCAGCTCCACAGCTTTAATGCATTGTTATGTGTGGGTTTAACTGTCCATTGTGGATTAATGTGCAGTCATGGCGACACAGGGAGATACGTGGAGATGAGGTCATTATATAAACTATTTAAAGAATTAATCTGTAGACATTTCATGTTTCTTTTAGGGATACAGCTATTTCTGTGGGCCATATAGATCCATTGTTGTCGCACTGGGTGACATGTTCCTTCCTTTCAAAGTCAATCCTACATAGTATCCCTGACAATGACATCTAGTTTGAACAAATCTGTACCTAATACCCCACAACATTCATTAAAGGAAGTAGTGGCTCTTCAAACACTGTACTTGTAATCAGGGATTTAGCAGAATTAACCACTATCATTGTTCCTGTCCAGCAATGCAGTTGACGTGCACTGTTTTGGTAACGTAAATAACCACGAGTGCATCAAATGCATATCGTTTTTTAACATTGGCTATGATAACTTAAGTAACCAGCTGTTTAAGGGAATCATTAGCATCTGTATAAAAATTGACTAATAATATATTTGTATGCATTTTTTGTGGCCACTTGGGGTCAGCAGAAACAGCTTTAATCACCACACTGGCACATTATCACATTATAAAGTTGAAAGGGGAAAGGTGTTAGCGGAAAAGTTGCTTTTTTAAATATCCAACAGGTAAAGAGCAACATTAGCCTTTAGTTTCACTCATGTTTTCCTCTACGATCGAGATATATATTCCCAAAATACATGCTTTAATATCATCTCTTTAAAAAAAAGATACATTTTCTGTATTTCTGCCTGAGTGAAAATTCCCTCTCCTCTCTACATGTTGTACAACTGCAGCAACAAGACTTCAAACTAAATCTACGATGATCTAAGACCTGACTGTATTTCTTTTACCTTATCGATTTTAAATCATCATTTTTGAACATTTCTTTGATCACCTTTCAAGTCTTCTGCTGAACATATAGCAAACATCTCAAATTAAATCCTATCAGTGTTTTAAAAACATGGTTTTACATTATTTTTCTTCTTCTCTCAGTTTCTTAGTGGTAACTATTTAACTCTATTATACGTACCAACCTTTTACATCTATATGTATATAATGTACGTACATGTATACTATACTGCATGTGCATATTTGGTCGTGCACTGAATGTATACATATCTACACATGCATGCATATTTGTATATCTATATGTGCACATATGGGAAGTGTTACACAGTGGGCTTCTGCTCAACAGGAATATGCATACATCAACACTAAAACAGGAGCAGTGAAAATTCAGCACCAGGCTGCATGCTGCGATAATGTTGATGTACAGTGAACATGATTAGGTGTACTTATATTTCAATACTGACATCCAAGCAAACTGATTTATAATAGCACTTAACATTAAATAAGAAAGAAACAAGAGAATAAGGTGTGCAATGCACTGAATAAAGAGAAAACTGGATAGATAGATAGATGGATAGATAGATAGATAGATAGATAGATAGATAGACTAGTATATTATAGGTTACTATGTTTATTGTTAATTAAAGTGGGAAGTTAAATGTGTAACTCCTTGCATACAGTAAGGTTCGTTATGTGTTAGTAGATATACGTGGCATAAATACTAAGATAAAGTTAAAATACCTCAAATGAGTTGAGAACTGCAGTACTTGTACAATACAAAACAAGTAGCCTACAAATACCTCTCTGATTAACAATGACTCAGTGTTGGTTGCTCTCCAAGATATCATCGCAGCTGTTTGACTTCTCTTGCATTCATAATCCCCCTCATACTCAGTGCAGCGGAAGAAGGAGATGACACGGAGTGGGTTCACTGTACTCCAGAGTAATCCGAGTAGAGATTTCCATCAAATACTGCTCAGCAGGAAATAACCATTAAACAAAACGGCCTTATCACCCTCTCGCAGGTAGTCTCTTTAATTAACTGCGCCTATACTCTCCCAGCCGCTGTAACTCGGGGGGCTTTAAGACCCGGCAGAGGTGCCACAGTGAACATCTGTCGCCTCGTCTCCTCACTATGAATGCGCTGAGCTCCGGTCTGGAGACAGTCAGCGGCGGCAGGAGGAGAGGAGAGGAACCGGGACGAGAGCAGATGGACGATGAGAGAAAGTAGAGCCGGACGCACTGAGCTGCAGGGATAAGACGGAGCTCCGCAAAATGAAGACACCTATGGTAAAGCTTTCTGCCATGCAACTGTTTGGGCTTTTTACACCCAGCATTGTTCAGTGAAGTGCGCTCCGATCGCCATAACGCGGCTGTGTGCACTCTGTCGGATCAAAAGATTAGGATCTGAACAATGGTGATCCAGCTGTGCGCTCTGTGCCACTAAACTCCGGATTTTTCCTAAAAACACTAGACAGCATGAGGGGGTTTTCCGGGTTTTAATGCAGATGCATTCATCTTAAAAGTGATTTTTGTATTCTCTTTCATATGTATTGTCCTAATGCACGCTGTGAAATAAAAAAAGATGCACATTATCAAAACAAAAACCTGCTTATGGGCATGTGGGATTTCTGTATGCACCCTTTGACTTACAACGTCAATGTATGTTATTAACTTATTTTTTTTAACTTTATGGCTTATTGTAAATTCCCGTGCAGATGTCTGTGCATTACAATTCATGCATGCAAACTAAGTAAAGATTTTCATTAACAACCTGACATCTTGTCATGTCATGATTCTGACTGTGCCCTTAAGTTACATTTTTCGATAAAAGCTGTTTTTATAAGTTGTGTTCACACGTGACACGACTTCCAGGAAGTTGTGTTAGTGTTGACAGTGAGGCAGGAAGATGAGGAAGATGAGGGTGCAGGAGCAGTTTACAGTTTACAGTCAGTCCGCTGCAACAGGAATAATCTGTATCTGTTTGTGTCTTTGCCTCAGCGCCATGGGATAGCTGTGGTCCTCGTGCTCCTCCTGTGCGCGAGCTTGTTCCTAGTGTACAACGGAAGCTTCAACGGCACTTCTTCCAGGGACGCTAACGACACCCACACACACACCCACACACACACCCGGCAGAATGAGCAGCTGCGTCGGCCCACTGAAGCACCCCCCAGGGCCAGGCCTCACCCCCCCATCCTCCAGGGATACAGTGGCATCATCGACCATAAGGTAAACAAGTGTGTGTGTGTGCGTGTGTGTGCGTGTGTGTGTGTGTGTGTGTGTGTGTGTGTGTGTGTGTGTGTGTGTGTGTGTGTGTGGTGTGTGTGTGTGTGTGTGTGTGTGTGTGTGTGCAGAGGTGGACAAAGAATTCAGATTATTTACTTGAGTAAAAGTACCATACTGTAAAAGTTCTGCAGCAAGAATCTTAATTAAGTAAAATTAATGTACTTAAAGTTTTAGTAGTACGCATTTTCATTGCTGAAGAAATTCTGCCACTTAATTTTCTGTTGACCCACCCATGTTTCCTATATTGTGTGTCAAAATCTGAATTTATAAAGTAGCTGGTATGTAAAATAAATGTAGTGGAGTAAAAAGTACAACATTGACCTCCAAATTGTAGTAGAGTAGAAGTATAAAGTTGTATAAAATGAAAATACTTGGTCAAAGTACCTCAAATGTGTACTGTGTGTGTGTGTGTGTGTGTGTGTGTGTGTGTGTGTGTGTGTGTGTGTGTGTGTGTGTGTGTGTGTGTGTGTGTGTGTGTGTGTGTGTGTGTGTGTGTGTGTGTGTGTGTGTGTGTGTGTGTGTGTGTGTGTGTGTGTGTGTGTGTGTGTGTGTGTGTGTGTGGCTCTCATAATGCATGGAGAGGGTGGATGATTGGCTTCAAAAGTTTGGATAATGCGCTGCGAAATGGGCACCAAAGTGAAGCCAGTGTCTCCCTTAAGATGCCCATTTGTGCACTGCATCTCCATTTCTTATTACCTGTAACACACACACACACACACACACACACACACACACACACACACACACACACACCCTTCCCCCTGTCTAATGGCCAGCAGTCATCAATCCGCACAGCTCTTTAGAGAAAGAACGCATCACCCTTCTGTCATTTATCACAATTTTCTCCAGCACAGTGTAGCGCCACACTCAATACCCACCTGTCGTTACTAATAACAGCTTAGGCTACAAATGAAATTCTTGGCTGCATTCTTGCTCTCTAATTGGTAAACCCAGGAGACCTTCAGCTAGGTGAACCCTGACGTCACAGCAGGAGTGTGTATTGACTTCCATCTATTTACCAAGCCAGGAGAAAACAATCAATGTGAGTACCGAGGAGCGAAGCCGCTGCAAGTTAAGCAGACCTAATCACCTTGTAAAGGCTTTCTCTTTTTTAGGCAACATACAAGGCAGCTTCTCTGCAGGCAATTTGGTTGATGGTGGGCGGTGTGCAACTCTGAGAGTAATGATCTATGCAACTGTTCTCTAACCCGTTTGGATTTAAGATGCTAGATTTAGAGAATGGAACGTTTTGACAATAGATCCAATGAAAAACCCGCAGAAATCGTTTTTGTCTCTCTGTAATCATGTTGTGTCTCTGTAATTGTTTTTGTAGATGTTTCATATCTCTCTGTAGTCTTTTGGCATCTTTTATGGAGTTTTTGTGCCTTTCTTTGTAGTTTTATTTGCATGATTGTATTCAAATTGGGGCTCTTTGTTAGATATTGTTTTCAGCTAATTTCTATGTGTTTTCTTGCAAAATGCCTTTTGTGGTTGGAACTACAACAGAGCCTTATGCCAGGTGTTTGATGTCTATACGGATGTGGGCAGATTTTGTCACGGTGATAGAGGTGCAACAGTGCAAGACGACCCAGACACTAAACTTTACAGGTGTGTAGTTGATAACAAAATGAAGATCATGCAGCCTGACAGGGGTGGCAGAAGGGAACACTTTATCTCCCTGCTTTACTCTTCTGACATGATTTATTGTCATGGCTCGAGTGATCCCATTACAACATGGTCTCTAGTTGTATTTGTTTTCCCTCCCTGTAGAAGTTTGTGTGTCTTTGTTGTCGATTTGATTGACTTTCCACCGATAAAGGTTAATAGTCACTTCGACCAGAGCCCTGAGGGCCTGGAGTATCTCTCCGTGGCAGGATGGATGACACTTTGAGTGACAGAGCTAATTAGTGTTGCCATCTTTCTCTAAAGAAAATGATAAGTTGGCTGCTGCAAAACTGCTTTAATTCATCAGATTGATGTCGCAGGTTGATTTGCATATGAGTAATTTCACAGCCTCCCCTCTGCTCTCAGAAGAGGCTGTTGCTTTGACAAATAGGCAGCGTGTACATGTATCAGCTGGACAGATTTGGAAGTAAACACATTGTTCGTAAATGTCAGAAAATGTAGCCTGGTAGGGAAATGAACTTTTGCTAAATCAAACACCAGGGGCTCTGAAGAGTCACTTAATCTTGTGAAAAAGCACTGCAGGTTGGCAACAGAAGGTAGAACTATTATTCATTCAAATAAATCCCATTGGTGCGGAAACCAACAAGTGCAGAAGCCTCTAATTTCGATGGCTGTGAAAGGTTCAGCTGGCAGAGTTTTCTCAGGAGAAATGCTGCTCGTCTGTCTACTTAAAATTCCCCTTTGAGTCACTCGGCTCTACAGGGAGTGCACGCTGGTGATGGTGTGAACCGTGAATTCACAGTTCACTTTATGTATGACATACTGTGCCCAACTGCATGTAGTCATGGTGACTTAATATCTATGTGAGCAGAATGAGGCAACCATTTTCAACCTATTTCTAAGGAACCTTTTCAAAGGGTTTCAAATATACATGTATAGAATTGTATTAATGGGATTCATTCTCCTGTGACTCAGTGATGATTATTAAATCTCTATATGACTGTCTGTCTGGGTGTCCAAAGATTACAGGAAGCATCTCTCTGTATGTCTAAATGTAATGGAACGTATTTTCGTCTTTGTAAGCTTTACAAAAGTTCGTTAATGGATACTGAAAGAAAAGGAAGCCTGAAAAATATTTAAGGTTGTCTGTTCACGCTTGCAAATGTGACAAAAAAAAACAGAACAAATGCTGTTTGTGAGCTCCCTATTTCAGAACTTTGACCTCCTCACATAATGACCAAAATATATAATTTTCTTACGCGCATTTCAGCCTTTATATCGAGGACGTTGTGTTTCATGGTTGGTGCTTTGAGCCAAAGATAAATAAGCACCACGACTGTATTTAATTCTGTCTTACTTTAGTAGTTAAGTTTGGGCATAAAGCTGTGAAGGTTACTTTCAGTTTTTGAACGGCCATGAACGTCTACATGGGCCGCCTCTCATGCAGCATGACATTTATCACCATGCCAACAATGATGTGTGCGCATGGCTCCTCGGGCAGATATCCAATGGAGTTGAAAGGGGACATATTATACTTATTTTCAGGTTCATGTTTGTATTTTGTACTGTTCAAAAAGGTCTGTTGTGATTGGGGTGGAGTGGGAAAGAAACTCCCTCTGGATGGAACTGCGAGATTTTAGCCTTAGCAGACCATTCACATCCTATAACACACTACAGGAAAGGGAAAACCCCAAAAAGTAGAGTAGGGCCTCTTGAAGCAAAAAATACATGAACCTCAGCTGTCTGTTTCTGCGTCCGTTGGTAAGGATATCTGCTCTATATGGTCCTGGAAAGACATTTTGTTTCATTGAATGGACAATTCTGAATAACATTTCACAGGCATTCATCTTTTGCTTCTACATTATTGGGTTAAAGCTGATGTTTTTGCACAGCCTGTTTGTCCCTAAGGACTCAAACTGTGTTTAGTTCAGTTACTTCCTTAAGATCGTAGTACTTTAACTTGTTTTTAGAATCTTCATTAAAGTGTGTAAACTTTTTAATGTTGTGACTCTGTTTATAAGTGGGATGTGGATGATGGGCATGCTGTGAGACAGGACATTCAAATCCAGTTAATATTTGTTGTGGTCAATATGCCAGAGGCTGTATTAGTGTTTGGTCTTGAATTCAAAATTAATATAATGAGTTCTGACAGAATTTGCGCGGTGCACATATAAAACGAGTCATTCATATTTAAGCTAAGGGGACACGCTGCAGCATCTTCTTTTCTCAAGGCCTGAAATGCCAATATTCAGTGACAGTGTTGGTTTTGATTTGATGAGGATTTGTCTGTAATGCGTCAGTAAACCCAGCTTTGGATGGGAATTGATTTTCCCGCTCTGACGGGAGCAGCCGAGCATCCTAAGTAAACCGCCAATTTATTTTTTTCTCTTGGCAGTAAACTTATTGACATTTTAGCGACAAGGGACATCAATTAGGGCCAAGGCTCCACTGAACATCATTCATGCTTTTTTCCAAAGCTGCTATTATATCACCCTTCACATTGTTCCACTGCAAGCTGCAATCAATACTCTGATTCAAATGCACTCAGCGACTACAGCATGTGGAAGTGCAAAACACAGGCCAACCTTCAAACACATTATGTTCAGTTTTTCGAGACATTTTGTTCTGCCGGCGGTTTGACTTCACAGATGAGCTCTCTCTGTACATATGGAGAATTGAAGAAATTATTGACCTTGTCTCACATTAGTTCTTCCGCACTGCTGAATGAGCGGTGTTTGGAAAAACTCCTCTGACATGAACATTTGTCTTCTTCATCTTTGCTTGCTGACCTCTTTGCCATATTGATCTCTCCAAGATATCAGGAGGCGTGCGCTCGGGGCATAGCCAGCCAGCCTTTGACCATTTCACTTTATCTTCCACCAGAGTATTAAACTCATCACAACCCTGAGAAAACACAACTTGAAGCCTTTAAGTTTTCTGTACACTTTCTTGCCACGATTTCTAAACATTTGAAGAACATTGCAAATCTTTCTTTTTCGGGTTATGAATCGATACTTCCATCCATCCATCCATCCATCTTCACCCGCTTATCCGTGGTCGGGTCGCGGAGGTATCAGTTCCAGCAGAGAGCCCCAAACGTTCCTTTCCCTGGCCACATCAACCAGCTCTGACTGGGGGATCCCAAGGCGCTCCCAGGCCAGCGAAGAGATATAATCCCTCCACCTGGTCCTAGGTCTACCCCTCGGTCTCCTCCCAGCTGGACGTACCTGGAACACCTCACTAGGAGGCGCCCAGGTGGCATCCTTACTAGGTGCCCGAACCAACTCAACTGAACCGATACTTATGAAAGATATTTG